ACAGAATTACCTGAAGTAGTTCTTCCTGTCCGGAAAGAATAGCAGCACTATGTCTTCATCATTTATAAAGAGGGGGATTACCGGTCGATTCAAAATGGGAGTAGAACGATAAAAGGCGGAAACTTTGTATTTGGATAGCGTATAAAGAACACTCGTATACATCTCATGCCCCTTCATTGAAATATAAGAATTAGAAAACATGCAGTTGGACGCTTGACAACATTACAGAGCACCATTTTGAATGGGTTTTCACTGCAATTTTGCCGTTTGCTAGTATTATCTGGTAAGATTTCCAGACAAAAATTATATTACTTGTGTAGTTATGTAAAAATAATAATATATGCTGAAAGGTAGACAACACAACCACTTATTCTGCCGTCACTTTATCGAAACTTGAAACTGAAAATCTACGCAGAGAATATAATGTACCGTTCAAATTGGACAATACTTGGTAAAGTTTTTACTTGTGAAGACATAATCTTTCGTTTATCTTCACTGCATTAAAGATATGTTTTTATCAAATGGATAATTCACGGTAATTCACTTGTAAACTGCAATAAATACCGATACCGTAGGGTGTACCATCATATTTTTGTAGGTAGTATGCGGCCTCAATTTTCGAGAAGGTTTTCACGTATGGGGAAGCATTTGAAGTGGACAAAGTGTTTACAGATCAAACCCGGGGGGTTTAATTTTGTTTTTATATTACAAATCCCGTTGCGAAAGTAAAAAGGATGGGTAGGATACCAAATTGTAAGTAGCAGAAAATGTACACAATTAACGTTGCGCTGTTGATTTTTTTTTCAGTTATCAACAAAGTGTATTGAGTGTAGCTGATATAGTTCAAAGGCGTTTATGGGAACACCATTGCTTGTTCTCAAGAATCACGATAAAGATCTCGAAAAGAAGTCACACATTTTCCATCCTTAAAGTGTATGTGTGTGTGTGTGTGTGTGTGTGTGTGTTGGGGGTTTCTATAATACGCTGTAACAAGCATTGCGTATGAAAAGAGGGGGCGATGTCAAGCCCTATCGTGAACGTTTGACAGTCTCTATAATACTTTCTAACAAGCATTATGCGTGAACTTTGACAGTATCTATAATACTTTGCAACACGCATTGTGTATAAAAGGGGAGAGGTTTTCATGCCCTATCGTGAACTTTTGACAGTCTCTATAATACGTTGTTAAAAGCATTGTGTATAAAAGGAGAGGGGCTGTCGGGCCCTATCGTGAACGTTTGACAGTCTCTTTAATACGTTGTTACAAGCATTGTGTATAAAAGTGGACGTTATGCAAATTTTACTGATATGAAATTAAATATTTACAACATGATTTGTACAGGAGTCTTACATATTCGTTTTATTCCGGAATATTGATTCCCTGCAGAAGCACACACTATGGCAAGCGATTATGGAATCGCACTATTGTGCGCGCCATGTGCGCATGTAATCACACGGTGTTTGCACGGTATGCTTGGTGTGCGCACAAAAAAAGGCATGCAACAGTACTTGCAACAGTTGTGTGACCGCCCCACACACCAAACATAGCGTGCATATATATATTGCGCAAATCGTGCGCGTTAAATATTACAGAAAGAAAGAAATACGGAAGACTCGAATGAAATGAGGTAGATTGTAGATATTTAATATCAGGTCAGTGTGATTTGCATTTTGTATACTGTCAAGAGAAAGGAAACACATATCAGAACTAGGAACAACTTATTTGATGGCAGTTCCTATCAATTTATTTATATATATCTGTATATACTTATCAGTATTATATATATATAATATTTGGCTGGGGGAAATAAAATATTTGAAAAAAGAAAAAAGAAAAAAATAATTTGATGAGTGACTGGAGGTTTTCTGGCATTGCCTGACATAGAGTGCTATGGTCGTTAGGCAAACAGAACTGTTTATAAACTGCATTTGTGTCGGTCTACAGATTCTTTTTACCAGGGTTTATCATTTCGGAATGTATATTTCTTACACATCTACAGGCACTTTGATACCAAGAAACAAAAATGAACAAACACAGAGAGAAAAACTAACGGCATGATTTCTATCCCATACATAAAAGTCACATCAGCACGTCAATGATACCATGTAGCAGCTGAAACCTTACATATATCGGAGACTCTGGCCGGAAATAAGGAAAACGCATTAAAGAACATAAAAAGACGTTGAAGCTATAAAACAGCAAGTCTATTCTAAAAATACAAGGAAGACATCGGAAAAACAGTATAATAAATTAGCCAATTCAGACCATGCTATCACACACAACCACAGTATAAACTGGATCGAAAGATCTTGAAAGGGAGGACAACTAAAACGTCAGGAAATAAAAGGTTTGAATTTGAAAGGGAGAGGAATCGATAAATAAAGACGAAGGAGAGGGTGGCAACTGACTCATCTTTATGATCCCGTTTTAACATCCAATAAGGGGTGGAAAAGGTAAACAGGTCATCCGTCTCCTGACTGCCTGCAGTATTAGAGTGTCATTGGGCGAAATGTCTTTAAGACTTTTGACAGCTGACTATACTGATTCGACACACTGTGGTAAATGAGTTGATTTTAGCGGTTTATAGTTGAAACACCACTCTTTGCTTGACAAAGGATATAGACGCTTACAAAATCTCACAAAATAGTTTTCAATTCCTATCTGTGGTCAAAACAAACTTAGCCGTTATTGTTTATACCAAACTGATGAATCTTATTACACATTTCAAGTCATATTGGTAGGATAGGTTGTAGATCTAGGCCCTTCCTAGTTATGTCAGTATCAGGTCATACATATGACTCAGTTGGTGTCCCCTCTCGTCTCTGGTCATGTTCTTAGTTTTCTTGATTTTGATTGCTTTTTGATTTATCTCGTTTATGTGTGCTGTTCCCGTTCAATTATCTTTGCATTTTCTAAATCGACGATGCAATTTTGGAGTAAGGGTGATCTGTTAATGCCGATTTATTGTACTGGGTAGCGGATGTTTTCCATGCTGTCTACCTGTAAACTAACTGATGCAGTGTGTACACGCTCCCTATCTATAGACGGAACGTCCCGAGTCGAGTGACATACAAAATATACGACTTCGTCACATCGTTGTACAGGGAATAAAAATACAAATCGCTCACTCAGTCATAGCTTCACAATCTACGTCGGTTTTGAAACGTTGCGAACACGTTAAATACGTAAATTGTTTGTTTAGAAAGTAAAACTTTGATATCATATTACCAAACTCATGAATCTTATTGAAGACATCTAACGACTTTATTCCTGACTGCAAACGCTATTAATTTCCGCTATGAACTATGCCATATTGATAACAAAACCCCCCACAACTGACTTGTTTTAAGAGAATCACTAGCTAATCATGTTTTTGTATTTTTATTTTATTTTATTTTTTCAAAATGCAGCAAATGATAAGGATAAGGAACTGCCCCGTCTGTATTTGACTCCAAAACCTAACAAGAATTTCTACAAACAAAGTTTATTACTGGCTCTGTTAATTGTTCAACAAATTAGTCATACCTCATGTTCTCAAGAAAAGAAATAAATTCAACGTAAATTTTTGCAGAACTCAAAGATCGTTTGATTACTCTTAATTATTTTCAGAGCATCCGTTTTGTTCTTCACTTCCTTACCTTCTTCCAAACTAAAGGAGCGACTTCCTTGTCTTATGAGAGCTTTCCTCTTCTAAAAGGGCAAACAGTTATGTTTAGATTTAGTTACAGGGTATTTACAAGTTGGTTAGAAGACTTAAGGCAGTCATATGGGTACAAGCGATGTCCTACGTCTGTCATACTTTATTTCATTTATTAAATAACTCATTTTGCATTTTGCGACGCCTAGACTTTTACTGAACAGCATAAATAAAGCATAACATTTTAACATGGCATATATCCTAGTTTATGCAGTTTGTGACATTTCTATATATATATATATGAGTACGGATATCATTTCTCTACCTATTAATGAGAGGTGAGGACATGGAATCAACTATGTGTAACCGCACTTTACTCTTGCTGCACGTGGCGACCCAGGTGCACATGTACTGACAAACTTTTGATGTGTAAAGACAAAATATTTCACGGCAAAGCCATTAAGCCTTATGCCATGTTTGAAAAGCTCTGACAGGAACCTTTTACTTTGCATGCTGCAGGCTGGTTCGCCGACAAGAAACGTTGCACGCAGCATGAATGGTGCTAGACCAACAATTGCGAGGTTGATTATAATGCACCAACAAACATTAATAGTTCAGGATCTGCACCTAGGTATACCTTTTTTTAATTTCTTTCGACATCGATTTCATTCATGTGTCTACGAGATTTATGCAAATATACGATATATACGACACTGTGAACAACAACAACAGCAACAACAACAACAAAAACCAACAAACCCCAACAAATGACAGGGCCTGGAAAGCGAGGAAATCCAAGGTGAAAAGTGCTTGCGCGATGTCCGAAAGGCCGTTGTCCTAAATAGACTAGCCACAATCCTTTCCAACCACTGTTAAAGATCTGTACCACTGCCAAAAACATTTCTTATGGATTTTTAAACGTTAAACCTATAGAAATATATACCTTACCGAACGTTATGACAACAATGAGCAATTTAAGATGAAATAGGCAAAAAGAAAATTAACAGAATTGTAATGGAGATAATGCGAAGCGAGTGGGTTTCACATCCCCTGGACCTTCAATCAAACCGTTGACAACATTTCCGTTCTAAGTAACCTAGCAACCTAATAAGCAATAGTTCTCTAGCCTCAGTTCAATTCTATTCAAAACGAATTTAAGGGGTTGCTAGTGTATATATATATGAAAAAAAAACGGTAATCTCTCAGTTTTGTCTGCATTGATACAGGTATCCTTAAATAAAAAAAAAATGTCTCTCAGTATGTTGATTGGCTATCCATGGGTGCATAGTGGGTGTGGCTAAGTTTTTGGTAACCAAGTAATATGCAAGATTGACGGTAGAGTATTAACAATGTTAGGTTTGCCGTCACCATAGTATGTGAGACATTAATCGCGTTTCTTTGGTGATTTTTCAACAATCATGTTTCGCTGAATATATAAACCAGCACTGTCAGTACCATTCCACACTTACAGGTGAGGACTAGAACACCCAACATGGTATGTACCAATAATTTGGTCGCATTATGCTGTCATCCACTGTTGCCAGCAAAGTTTAAATAGTTTTGATCAGACTAGAACAGGATTGTATTATTGTTAAACATATGTAGTTATTATGTTTTATACATTTGTACAAAATACCGATAGATATTTCATTTGCCTATAGAAGTATTGTTTCACAAATTATGATAAGACAAAGTCATCTAACAATGCTGCAATACATGTCTTGAGGTACGTTTAGTTTGAACATATTTTGCAATAATATAAATCCAAAAAAGTACAGCACAAGTTATGCAAAATTGCAAAAGCTTTTGCCTTCATCATGTGCAAACATAGAGAATATCAAATTAAAGGGGAAATTGTAAAAACAAATACCAAATTTGAATCACAGATTGTCCTGCTGGATTGGATGCATACTTCTATGTCATAAAACACAGTATAAATGCTACAACTGTGGTATTATAAATTCACATGTATTTGGTTCGCCCGTTGTCAGTATAATGTGACCGGGTGGGGCGTCCTGCTGGGTGTCTTCGGCAGTATGTTTCAGTGAGGTAGCACTATAAAGTCGGCATCAGTTCCGCGCTATCACAAGGAGACAAACACGAACATATCGCAGCCTCCCAAAATACACACACATACACTACACGCATGCATCTTACACACAGGAGAGGCCGTCCTTAAATGACCTTAGCTGTTAATAGGACGTTAAACAAAATCAAACAAACAAACAAACAAACAAAATTGTTTACACGGTAAATAAAAGTAAGGAGATTTTCTTCCAGCATATCATGTTCATTTCGAAGGAAGTTGGTGCATATTTATTATACGCGTATAATGAGCACTTTTTCTGTAATATCTATAGTGATTTGTGCTAACGTTATTCAAATAACAAATACATTTCCGGCTTTTCGAAGCACTATTCATTGATAACATCAAGTGCATGTTACAAACATAAACAACATCAGCATGATGCATTTGTTGCATGCATATGGGTTCAGTTTTTGTTGAGATATTTGTATGAAAAGCTGATTTAATCACAATATAATAAATTAAAAGGGAAAATATGTAAAATAATATTAATGTCCATATACAAAAGATATCAATACACGCGTTGATAATTCTCAACTGTGGTATTTATTTTTATTTTAACTTTCATAACAAGTGATTGATGAATGCTGTTTTTTCATTCAGAGTGTTATGTTATTAAATATAATTTTACAAAAAAGATCGGATACATGACTAATCACCTAAATCTGTTTCAGGTCTACATGAACGTGAGGTACCTTGTCATCGTTTTGTCATTTGCAGTTGTTCGATGTGGTGAGTAAAGGTTTTCTTTGTATTCATAACTGAAAATAGCAATTGACCTTTGTCGCTTCACATATATTGTTGTGTATCTTTTATCATTAATGTAGATTTGTAATACATTTGTTTGTATACCTTTGTTTATTATGAAATTAGTTTGTTTTAAATGAAAAGCTGTACAGCAGTTTGGTTTGGTTTAGTATTGTTTAACGTCTTATCAACATCAGCCAATTACTTATTCTATATCTTGTTATATATGTAAACAAGTGCGTACATGAAGCAACACTTAGTGTCAGGCATCGGAAGTTGATATTTATATATATGATAGCTTCAATCGATTTTGATTAAAGCCGGTACTGAAGCATTATATCAAGAAAGAATAAACCCGGTAGTTATAGACAGGCTCCAGTTAAGGATGTAATCTTCGGAGGTTTCAATCACGTTGAAACCTCGTTTTGATCTCAAGCAAGTTTTTTTTGTAATATTTAATAAATTTGGATAAATTTTGAAAGCAAAAATCCACCGGAATACGTGTCGAAATACTAGATGTCTGTTCTTTGTAGAACTTTTTTTTTTCCTATTTAGTGGCCATTATATAAATGTGTAATTCTTGCAGTTCTCGAAAGGCCGAAATTCCACCCTTTTTTTCACAACATTGATCACTGAAATCGTCGTTGTGTCGCTATTTTTAACTGTAGCAAGTTCATTTTTGCTGTACAGATTTATAATGTTCAATATGGTGTTAATAATAAGCAACAAAGTGGAAAATTATACATTATTAGTATTTTCCTTTTTTACATATTTGACTCAAGTCAAAGTGAAAAATAACACAAAAAGTAATGGGACAAAAATAAAACACACGAACCTCCTATTTTTATTACTGTTTTAGAAAGAGAAAAGTATTTCCTTTGATCTGTTAAACAAAAAAAATATAAGTAGACCTTTTATGTCAAGCGTATAATCTGCAAAAAAAAGAGAAAAATATATTTTATTTCATTAAAAAATACGGTGTAGGGGTAACCTATATCGTTTTTTTCTGAATTAAAAGGATAAGTTTTAGAACTTTTCTTTCCATAAAAAATACTTATTTGATCAATTCTGCAATCATTGATACATATGTGATAACACACTTGGAAGATATTACAATGTATATGCATTTGTTCTATAAATGGTAAAAACAAAAACAATCATCTAATGACATATTATGCTAAATTGGTTTCTTTGACCGATTATAACACAAACAAGAGCACACGAACATAATACTTTTTATTGCAAGTTCTAGTATGCATTTCCAAAACTGCATATAAGACTTCTCAAAGGTATACATCCTCAATTTTGATTGTGAAATCTATACGGACAAGAAGTTGTATTTCCCAAATATCTACCATTCCACAGCACATCATCATTAGTCGTGAATTCATCATCAAACAAAATAATAAGCCAATACAAAAATGTAATCGTTTCGATGGTGGTACATAGACCAGTCTTATATAAATGGTATGTAAAAAACAACCATAAACATTTGTTGACAAATGTATCATGATAACGATACATATAACGCAGTCTAATGTCTCAAAAACTAGGTACTACTTGCTTCTATAAATCAGTTTATATTAGCGTCTATAAAACTCTAATAATTGCATGGACACACAAACACACAGACACACAAAATTGATCTTTTTTTCATTATTTAGCAGAATGACTATTTGTATTTTTGATTCAAAATTTTAATTCACAGCGCAAACATGTTTTACTGGCTAATTCTGATTGTTTGTTTTTGTTGCTGTTGCTGTCGAATAAATTACTCGAAGAAACATGAAAACTATTTCCATGATTTTCTTCGCATACGATACACCAATAATTTCATTATACTATGCTTTCTCTCTTTCTCAATAATTCTAACACGGAACATACGGATCGCTATTTTTCTAATTGTGCATCAAACGGTCGATATGACTTACAATATCGTCACGTTATTGTACATGTTAAGCTTTACAAACATTGTGACACGTTTCATACATTGTAGGTTTCATTTTTTGGGTATAACGTTAATCTTTGATATTACATACAATGTATCTATAAACTGATAAATGTTAATAAAGATATGGTTTAACATGACATTATCATTGCTATATCATTGCTAGTTAATACAGGACTCATGAGTCAAATATATTCGTAGTAACTATATATGCAGCCCTTGCCACTTGTAGACTTATGCAATAAACACTGGTTATTAAACGGATTAAATATGTCTTTTTTTGCAATATAAGTAGTTTACAAACAAATTTACAATAATGGGACGATATATTCATTATACGAGGTGCATCATTTGTATGTAGTAATTTAGGAAAAGAGGAAATATGAAAACATTAGTATTCAAACACGTAGTTCGAATTGTATGAAAGGGAGATAAATCTAACGTCTTACAAACTTACTAATTAGGTAATGTTAATGAGCATTGTTACTTTGTTACAGTTACAATAAGACAAATTATCTTTTTTATGCGTTGTCGGTTTCTGGGTTTTATATTCCACCATAATATACCATTATATTTTGATACGAAAGCTTAGAAGGGTCAACTTTTGAATGGAAAAATAAAGTTCCAAATCGCATTATTGCGTATTAACGCCTTTCAAAAGTCATAATAACGATAATAAAGTCGTTATAACGCATTTTAGAATTCGTTATAACGCAACAAAAAACGTGTATAATTGCAAATATTTGTCATGGGATGCCTTTGTCTTCATTTCACAACTATCTTCACGTTTTAATAAATCATTTCGCTGTTCGCAGTTATTTCATTTTATACATTCGGAAAAGGATCACATATGCCTGAAAATGTATTTATGTATCGTAAGTATTTAACTTTTCCTACTCCTTTTACATTGTTTAAATGATACTGAGTATGAAAATGAACCATCGATTAGACTGTTATTCAGCGATATACAGATGTAATATTTACCTAGCTTATCTGTGCAAATTGAATTGTGTAGGGTCGGCTCTCACATTCAGTACAACGCCATACTCTATAGGCTACATCTATAAATACAGCGATCTACACATTTGCAGGATGTTTATGTCCTATGTTCGATTATATTTGTTTCTCAAATTTTACTACATACGAACGACATCTTCATATTTCGTCGATTATTTTCTTAATTAATAGCTGAATAAGGTACAGTTGTGTGACCTCACAACGCACCAAAAATAGCGTGCGCACACCGTTCATACAGCGTCCACACAACTGCGCGATTTAACAATCGTTCGCCCTGTTGTGCGCTTCTCTCCGCACAACTGTGCGATTAGGTACAATTTGCTGATCAATATTACGAAATGAAATAAATACGGAAGGCTCGTATGCAATAATATCCATGTACACTGTATATATTACTGTGATTTCTCATTACAATAATTAAGATTATGTACAAGTTTACAATGCGTGTATACAGTATTACAGTGACCGTTAGACTGTCAAGAATGGGTTTGGCTCCTAGGTAACAAAACAGGTAAATAACATTTTGATGAGCAACCGGAGTTTTACCTGGCCTGTGCCTGACACATATAGCTGATGTGTGATACCGTATGACCGTTATGAAAACACAACTGGACAATTAGTATTTGTTATTTGCATTCGGTTTGGCTTATAGATCCCCTTCACCTAGAGTTGCCCACCCCGGTGAGTTACGTAAGTGCCCCTGGCGGGGACAAGTACGGTCCAGGTACATGTACAACGTAGCTACATGGTATGTTTACCTGTATACGGGAACTGTGTTATAATTTTACATGTCGATTAAGGTCGTTCAAAAAACACCGAAAACACCATTTCTAAATTCAGGAAAGTATAGACAGAAAATTTAAAGATAAGCTTATAGATGCAACTAGTATATAGAAACATATTTAAAAATCGAGTTTTTATGTTTAAACATGAAACCGTATATATTGTTAAGGCATTCCTCAATTTACACCAACCACGATTGTTATCGCACAACGTTCGTCCATCGTGCGCAAACAATGATCGTCCAATTGTTCATCGTTCGTACATCGTTCACACATCGTCCACACACCTTGCACACACCATGCGCCCTCCGCGCATCGTGTAACGTTGTGCGATCCCACAACTGTACGATATCCATAATATATAATTGACCTCGTATACTGCATTGTGTGGCATGTTGTCTGTTTTTTCAGTTTCAAAATATAATGAATAACTTATACCGAAAAAACTGCAATTTGCAAAGTGTATACATTGTTGTGGTGTATATCGTATAATCCCCAAAATAATTCCTGTTTTGATTTCTTACACACATTTCAAATTTAATTTAATTTTTCCAATCTCTTTCTGGTTTCCTGTTTTGTTTATTTTTGTTTTTTAATTAATTACCGTCATTAAGACATAGACACTTCATTTCATACGACCAGACTACTTTATGGTCTAATAATGCAATCACATATGTCTCATGGCAGGTGACATTTTCACATCACCCTTTTAAGCATTTAAAGGAATAACATAATGACGCATTAACTTAAATTCACAGGCAAGCAATGTTCTTCGAAATGTACAATCTTAATACATCATAATGTGCCATTTTATTGATAAACGAATAAATGAATTGTAAATGTATAACCTTTGAATCACTAAAGTTTGCTTATACAAGGACCTTTATATCATTGTATATTACAGAAGGAAATAGCAATGATTATGAAAACAGAAAAGCAATATATATCTATTTGTGTTCCTTTACTATGATGCTGGCCAGCTAACATTTTAGATCATGCGCCAATCTCATAAAGCGCAATTGACTGGTCTGTATTGAATGATGCATCGCGTTTAGCATACTATGTATACACTGTATATACCGTACACTACAAGAAATGTCTTCCTATAAGAAAGCAGTCATTGTAAAAAAACTATAAATCATTCGGAAGTTATCGATTTTAATAAAAACAAACCCACAAAAACAATAATTACCCAAATAATACTATGTTTTGTTGGCTTATGACTATTACGCTTTATATAGAACATATTAACATCAGTAAGCAATGGGTCTCGCCCACGGTTTTTTCGCTGTCAGGGGGCGCCACTGCACTAGCGGGTATAACTTTCGGAACTCTTCTGTGTCGTCAGGTAAACAAATGGCGATTGCAATTTAACTATAGATACATTTATCACTGTCATTTATCACCATGCCACAATACTGCTGTGTCCCCGGGTGTAAGAATTCGGGTGGTCATAAATTTCCAACGGAAATAGCTTTGCAGAAAATATGGCGAATTGCAATCAGGCGAGTGGATACCGTGACGAAAGGCCTGTGGCAGCCAGGGAAATCGGATGTTGTTTGTCATCGCCATTTCATAACGTCGGATTACAAGAACACACTATTAGGTACGAACTAATATTCTAATGAATACTTATCTGTTGTTAATAAGTTACTGGTTATAAGCACGGACCTATATTTATGTTAAATAGTTTTACGCATGTAATCACGGTCAGTACACAATGTTTTTATTGGTGTGTTTTTTTAAAAAATATTGATCTTGTTATTTTTCATTAATTTAAGCGAACTTTTTTTTACATGCCCCTAGTCAAGTATCGAGATAAATGACGCAAAGTTCTTTTGAAAATGTTAAAGGTTGAACTCATTAATCATATTTGAATACAAATTCTATTATTTACTTGTTATCAGAAATTAAATTCACCAAAGGCTAATATATACATCGATTCATATATATACATACAATCTGTGTATTTAAATGCGTGTTTTTATTTTAGATACTTGACTAAACATGATTAAAGACAAAAAGGGGGATTTACTTAGTGAAGACAGGACTGGGTTATTATAAATAAAAAATTATATATTCCTGATATGAAAGTGTACATTTTCCTATCATACAACTATAAGATACATGTACATGTACCATTTCAACAGATATCTTACTACAATGGCCGTATAAACATTTAGGACACTAACATTTATGGTGACCTCCTTACAACTATTGCAAGAAGAATGTAGTCTTGAAATATTTTCAAAATGATTTTTCTGGCTAATTATAACTTTGACTTAACTTTGAAGACTTTCAGTACAGTTTGAGTATTTAATTTTAAGTACTGTAAGTTTATAATTTATTAATAAAAATAATTAATTTTCATTATTGACCGAGAACGGCACTAGTTAGTCAAATATCTGTTAAAAGGGGGAACTTGCTAGTTAATATGTACATATAAGGCCCCTAAAAAACAATGTGTGTTTCCTGTTTCCCCCTACCAACCCTAGATTTTTGTGCCAACCCTTAAGTTTTTATTGGCATTTAATGATATAAAGCACTGTTCAAGTCAAAACTCCTGCTCTTTATGAACAGCATAGTAAAAATATATATATAAAAAAAAGAAATTGCCTAGCACCTCATTTTTTTCAAGCAGAACCAGGAAACACACAAGAATAATCTCTTCCCAACAAAGAAACATTATTTACTCAAGAAAGTCATTTTACAGTGATGTGAAAACATCCAATTTAGATTCACTTTAGCTGTATTAAATCCCTCTATAAAAGTTTGTGTTGCTTTGTGTGTTTTTCTTGTTTATTTTCCCCAGGTTAGTGCAACAATAGAAGGCATGGACAGCACCCTCTGAATGGAGCCAATGATACAATGCGGTATGAAAGTATGGTTTGTGCATAAAATATGTTAACTCTTGTTAGTAAGAACACAGTTTAAAGTATAATAAAATAACTTGAAAGTTGTGTGAAATGTAAAAAAAAAACATAATGCTGAGTTTAAGAAAAAACAATTTTCATTTTCACTTCTTGTTTTTTTTATTTAGTATTCAATACTTCCCTATGACACAATAATACAATTATTTAATTTTCTTCAGGTTAATACAAGGTTTGATCATCAAACAATAACTTATGTCGAGGACATTTACACTAGACAGTAATGTGGGAATCAGCCAGATTGCAACTGCTGAAAGGTTGCAAGTCATTTATAATCAAGGTTAAACAGCAATTGATGCAGTAACTATTTCATCAATAACTGTGTATAGGTTTGCACTCCTTCAGTCCTTCCTTCCGTCCAAGAAGTTTGTCCAGGGCAAATCTTCTATACTATTTCACCTGTGGTAAGCAGATTTGGTGTACAATGACATCTTGGGATGGGGAGTGCAAAGTGCAAGAAGAATGTCACTGTGACCTATGACGTGACCTTTGACCTTTACTTATGAAAATGTTTGTCCCGGGCATATCTTCTATATTATTTCACCTAGAGTAGCCAGATTTGGTGTACAAGGACATCTTGGGATGGCAGAGTGCAAGAAGAAGGTCACTGTGACCTCACTGTGACCTATGCTTTGTACTGTTTGTTAAATATAGAAATCATTACTGGTGGGGGACTATGGATTGCCTTGCAATACTTTGCCTTGTTACAAATATAATATAAAATACATAATACATTACTGTACATGTTTTATAACTCAATATGCAGGTGAACGTAGCAGACTAAAAGCAGATGCTGTGCCATCAGTTTTTCCATTTAAAGATACTAGTATGGAGGAGAGTCCAAGACAAAAGCGACTGAAAACGAGGGAAAACAGATCTGCCCTACAGCCTGAACAAGACAGTCAACCACCAGATGATGTTCAGAGCGAGGTGGTTATTGAATCATCTGAAATGTCCAGGGCCGATAATTTTTCTACATGTTCAACATCTACGTATACTCAGAGTACACAATGTGAAATCAATTCACTTGGAAAATTTTCGGTTGATTTTTTTCGTAGTAATGCTAAAATGATGAACTATTATACAGGTTTTGTTGATTTTGCTCAGTTTATGCTATTTTATCAATGTCTTGGTCCCTGTGTCAATGAGCTCTGTCACCAAGGTTCCTTGTTAGATCCTAGAGACCAGTTGTTTATGGTCCTCATGAAACTTCGTCAAGCAAAAGAGGATGTTGAATTGTCCTTGTTTTTCAAAGTATCTGAATCCACAGTATCAAGAATAGTTGTTACCTGGATCAAATTTTTTATATTTTCAACTTAAAGAGTTAGACATTTGGCCTTCAAAGGAAATTATTAAAGAATATATGCCTTCAGATTTTCATAGGAAATTTCCAAACACTAGAGTAATTTTAGATGCCACTGAATTACCAATTCAAAAACCATCAGATGTTAATGCACAGAGTGCAACTTGGTCGTCATACAAGCATAAAAATACGCTCAAAGCAATGATAGGTTGTACACCAAGAGGTGTTGTAAGCTTTGTATCTGACGCTTATTGCGGGTCTGCAAGTGACAGGCAAATTATTGAAAATTCTTCATTACTAAACGAAAGTGTGTTTGATAAAGGTGACAGTATAATGGCTGATCGTGGGATAATGGTTCAGGACCTCTTTGCTACTAATGATGTATATGTAAATACACCAACAATGCTGAAAGGAAAATCACAGCTAGATCCTGAGGAAGTTGTTCATGACAGAAGAGTAGCATCAAAGCGTATACATATTGAGCGTATCATTGGTTTAAGTAAAGGCTTCAAAATTTTGAAAAAAGAACTGCCTCAAAGTAAGTTGCAGTTGGGATCACGTATTGTTTTTGTATGCTTTGCAATCTCAAATTTTAGAAACTGTATTGTTGACAAATATGCATGATTCTGTATACTACAGCTCAGATATGATGTTATCACAACTTATCCTGTGTGTGTACATGGCTACAATATACATACCAAGTTCAAAGAGTTGATGCAATGAAAGGTCTGAAGTATTTGGAATAGAACAATTCTAATTTTGGAATCATTGAATTGTAACAATAATCATGTTCAAGTTCTATCTTCTGCACAAACAAGTCACAAAAAGTGTATACAACAAAAAAGCAAAATTGTCTTTTTGTAATAAAAAGCTGACCTTGAACTTGGTAAAAGTAATTACTGTTGTTTTTCAAGACAATTTTCCCCTGTTCATTGTACATCAAGAAACCAAAATTTTTCCCAGGTTTGATTTTTTCATTGCGACCATTGTATGGACATTTCACTTCCACAATATAGTTGTGGTCAATGATAGCATCAGGTGTTGCACCCAAGAATGGTTTTTGTACATATATGAAAAATCCAGCTTTCTTTGTTTTGATTTGCATTTTTTTCTCAAAAGCTGCCATAGCTTTAGCTTCATAGTTTTTTCCATGTGACATCCCTTCTGAATAGGTTTTGTTTGTATTAAGTAAAGAAGAACAGAGTTTCTGAATATTTCTCCTGTGTGTCATTTTACACACCTCTCCAAATCTGGATGCTGTCAGTCGCCATGCCCTCTCCTTGTACCAGATTTTGGAGGATGACTGGCTCCTTGTGGTCTCCTCAATAATGGAAACCTGCGTTTCTGTGACCTAGAAGTGAAAATGTTTGTGTGTGAATATTTTACATCATTCTGTTGTTTGCAAAGCTGATATATGTTTTACAAAATACATTTGTTGATATTATTATATTTTATTTTTAAATCATGATTTTCATCAGGCTGACAATATAAAGGGTCACTTAATTTATACTAGAACTAGAAGACCAAGTCAATGATGTTTTTCGTATATTGTTGTATGAAGGTTAACAGCATGGTGACTGTCAATACATGTATAATACATGGTTTCAAAGAAAAGTATTTCGTGAAATAATGCATTGATAAATCATAAAATCTGCATTTTTGTGTCAAAAGCACCCTGATGATGCTGTTGAAAAGATGATCCCACAATAAACAGATTAATAACAAACAATAGCTTGCATATAGACATACATTACTTCCATACGATAACCATGAGCTTATATTGTTAATGTTGCTACCTGAACAGCTGAATCCACCCAGTATTCAGTAAATGGAAGGGGTGTATAATCATGGTCCAGTGCAGCTACCTGATGATGATATATCAAATAATGATATATAGATAACATAAAAAAAGGTTATAAATATGAAATTGAAGACTTTTTTATTTTGAATGAAATGTTCCTGGTAGTAATAAAAATGCAGCATTAACATTTGAATTAACATTTTTGAATTTTTCAAACCAGTTCATAATGAAATTTATTGATAAATCTTTATTGAAAAGCATTAGAGAACATTGTTATGTACTTAAATCTTGTTGTGATTACTAGATGTTAACTTCAAACATTTCCAAACTGGAAAATACTTCACCTGTATGTTTGCTCTTCTATAAAGGTATCGCATTGCAACATCTTGAGATGTTGCAGAACAGTGGTTGATGATGCAGTTTCTCACAAAGTCATTATAACCTTCTGTGTTGCGATACTTCTGAGGTCTTGGGTCCTCAAGAAAATCATCCCCGGTTTTCCTTTTAGATGGCAACTCCTCAGCAGCTACAGGGGCACCTGTGATGAGTAGTCCACATATATGTAGAATTAAATCAATGGAAATAATGATTGACATTGATAAAGGGTTTGCTTAAGTGAGGTAAATCTGCATAAAAATTCAGTATCTTAGTGAATATTTATTATATTTTCAAACTATATCTATATTTTGTCAAAGCTTGATATCCTTTATTATGAAATAATAATATCACTATCTATAAACGGATGAATAATTATGTCTTCATATAATGAATTATCAAACAAATATTGTGAGCAATAATACCTTTGTGGGTAAACTTTGGTTTATGGAATGTTTGCAGGCTTTCTGTACATGACTTCTCCACTTGTATCTCACCAGTGTTAATGAAATGCTGCAACATCAGCAGTACTGCAGCAAGGTGTTTACAAGTACCATGGGGTCCTTTACCTGCTGGACACTCGCAATGCGTGTTGACAGGATCCCCTGTCAGTTTATCAATTTTCATCTTGAAGTTGTAAGAAACCTGTTATTGTAGTATAACATAAGGTACATGTTAAATGGTAGTAATATATACAATGCATGTTGACAAGATTAAAATAATTGTTATTGTCATTTCATAGAAAACAAACATCAAGTTTAGTTACACTCCAAAATATAGCATGATTGTCCAACTTGAGTACTTTATCAATATAAGTCATAGCTACTCTATATTGTTACCTTGTTTTTCATGGCAGCCCCAACTATGCCAGTCATGTAAACATGTTCTTGGATCAGCATGGAGCAAGCCTGAATACGGTCTGCCAGAAACATGTCTTTTCCTTTTTGTAGAGCTTTAATGTCCCCCGTGGACTGTCTGTCATCTAAATAAAAGCAGTTTATGTCATTAGCCAGTACTAGGGGAACATGTATAAATGTAGATATGTATGTAGGGATTGAATCTTGATTTCAGAGGTACAATATCTCATTTATGGATATTTTTATGTGTTATAAACATTCAACATAAATCTACAAACATGATGGCGAAAACAGATTTGTTACTGATATTGTGCATCTATCAAGTAAATGTGGCCGACATTTCATCAGTATTGTTACTTGGATTATGAAACAATTTGTATTTGAGTCGTAGAATAGAAGTCCACTTCCAAAATTAAAAACTGATATTATTCATACTAAATGTTACTGTTGTTATTTATTAATAGTACATGAAGAATATTTCTTCTGAACTGAAAGGAAAGCATTACATTTGTTCAAAAGTTTTACGTTAGGCTAACTTAGGAAAATCCATGTAATGGGCTGGGCACTTAGTAAGCACCAAACACTACTGTTAAAACAGATGGGAAACGTGAATGTTTCCTGTCGCTTAATATACATATGTAATTTACATGATATTTACCTGCCATTCTGAACAAAAAGTAACCTTCAATCTGCTCCGTGGTTAACTTTGGAAGGATAATTTTGTGATGGATGTGCAATTGCTGAAAACCTGCAGAAGGCCATCCGACCGCCAAAGGTTCTGGTAAGCTATTAAGCAATGCAGGCTGTCGGAAGTCTTGGTTCCGTCGATATGCTTCTAATCTTTTAAAATGAAAATAATTTATGTATAACATCATTCACGAAATTTATATTTATATTTAAGAATTTCGTGTACACTATAAGGAAAGTATATATGTAGATCTGTACCGAGCAGCAGAACCAACGTTATCATTGACATTGTGACAGCTCGGTTATCTTACAGAAATGGTGAACGGAAAGTATTTAATACTGTGCTTCTATGAATTGTAATGCAAAATATATTATCACCTTTCTATCAGTGCTGTCTTCCTTCCACTCACAACAGCACCTCGTGCAGCCAATTCAGCCTTCAATTTCGGTACCGAATATTTTAGATAGCGGTTCGCCATTGTTGTCTATAGTTACAAGCGTCGCAGTGACTTAAAACGTTCGCGCTACCACCTTTAGTACACAAGCGCCCCCGGCGGTTAGTTCCGTGGGTGAGACCCATTAATCTCATGAATGTAGATTTATATGTTGTCGTTTTTTTAAAGGCGTTTTGAATAATATTGTCATATTATGTATGCTGTTTTTATCAATGTTTCAGCTAATCCTGTCTGTTCTGGAACTGCATGTTCAGGAACTCAAGCATGTAAATGGACGTGTGAAAGTAAGTTAATCTTAATTGTAAGAAAATTATTAGATTCTTTCATAACAGAAATGTAACAGGTTTGAGTGTTGTATATTTTGCGAAAAGGTATACCCTTTTGAACTTGCAACTAACATAAATTACATGTTTCCAACTGGACATACTGGGAGCGTTAATTCATTCGGTAAATATATCATACAGTGTATACTCATGACCGCAATAATTCAAATTTCATTTATCTTAATAATTACCCTCTTAACATAACTATTTTGAAATATCAATACTAAAACCATTCTTATTGTTTTAGCAGATGGCGGGAGTACAGTTGTTGGTGGTACGTATTTTTATTCCATATTTACTCCCATCACTAGGTTTATGCAAAAATACATTTAAGAACTCCGGATTGTATTTGAAGTACTGAACAATTGAATACAAGTAACATCATGTTGATGAATTTCAAGTTTGCCAATCATGGTATTCATTATTAATGTTATAAAATAGCGTTCTATATAATAACACGAAATAACGGCGATATTTGGTTGTTTGAAAGCGTCCATTATCATGTAGAAATATCCTGTTCTACCTGTCCAAAATTTACAGCTTAACGAACGGCAAGTAAAATGCACCCATCATAAAAAGGATGTATTTAAGTTTGATTTGAAGACTTCTTTTATAAATATAAAATGTTGTTTTGTGAACGACGCAACTGATGAAAGCGGATATTGAAAGGCATCATCCAAATATATCTTTAATGTACTGATTGTGCATTTTTGTAGGGAATTACTACTCAAGAAATCGTTTACGACTTTCAATTCTTAAATAGTGTTTATCCTCTCTTCCAGCTAATCGGACCGCTTGTGCAGCTGTCAACGACCTGTGTGGAACAACTAAAGTAACATCAGGGAAATGTAAAGCTGCATGTGTAGAACCCGCCGGTGAGTGACATATTATCCTTTGTAATTACCAAGTATGACAATTGGTCATTGCAATAGTACTGTGCAATCATATGAATCTATTATTTTTAAAGTTTCAAAATAGAATATTAAATTATACAATATATATTTGTATTGTCTACTATCACAACGATTGTTAAAGATAAGATAAAGAAATAGTTTGTATATATTTCAGGTACGCCTGTTTGTACCGCACCTGCTTGTACATCATCTGAAACATGCAAATGGACATGTGACAGTAAGTTATCTAAATTTCCTCAAGTTTCTCAAACTTCAACTATAACAGTCGATGACGAAGATGATACGTAAAAAAACCTGTACGATGAAAACTTGAATTCGCAGCTGATATAAGTTATTATTTTTTTTAAATATACAAGGAACAAATGAATTATTCACATTGCTTTATTTTTTGTGTTCAATAGCAGTTATTAATGATGAGAGGAATATTTTTTTTTTCTTTTTTAGTTTAAACTTTATCTAACAACCTTAATCAAATAGCATCTCTGTTTATTACCTCAACACTAAAATACACGTATCTTTGCAACAGAGAGCGGAGCTGCTATACCAGGCGGTAAGTATCATAACTGCCACTTAAAGATTAATGATATGTTTTGTATACGACGAAATGATTTCGGAAGCTTTTTTCTGGCATTCAAATGTATGACGGATATGTTGTTAAGTTGCTCAAGGAATGGAATTAAATTTAGATAAATGCTAGCATAAGTCGTAGTTGATATATGTATAATAGGTTCTATTGATTTCCTCTATTATTGAACCTTTTTAAAATGTAAAATTGTAATGGATGCTTTTACACTTATTCACCTGATGGGGTACTGAGTGGGTAGTAAGCGATTATTCACACTTTAACTCATGCACACCTTTGCTCCGAAATTAACTCTTGTACAAAGACGTCATTGAAATAAATTAGGAATATGTTGATAAATGGACCATAGTGCCGTACAATGTAACACCAACACAAAAACTAACCCTGATTATATTTCGGTGGTCATCAGTCAAGTTTAAAGGGGCAAAGTTACACTTGATCTCTTTTTGAGTAAAACAATTATGTAAAAAGCTCTCAAAAGAAACCCCCTACAGATAAAATTTGTATTTAAGTCATACTACAGTAACATTAAACTTCACATGTGATAAGAATAATTCGTGAACGGTTAAGGTTAGAATAATTTGTGAACGATTACGGTTAAAGCATCAAAGGTAAAACATTCTCAAATTCGAAGTTAAAGCCTTGTTTGGATCATGTAATGAACACTTTATTCAATTTATTTTTAATATTACACTCCTCGGTCAAGGTTAAGGATAAGTGTTTAGCACGCTTGAAGAAAACCATCGTGTTTGGTATAAGTTGGATTTGGGTAATATCTTGGTGAGCACCTGCTCGATTAACAGAAAAGACGAAGGCGTGGTTGTGCATGTATATTGAATGTGCACGCGGATCGACAATGCATGGCAACATTTGCAAGAAACTTTGAAATGAACGTGCACCTAAACATGTACCTTGCTAAGAAACCATGTGCAGCAAGTTCGCTTCAAAGTACCTGCGGTGGATTTTGTTACTGTTCATGATATCGTTTGCTTATTTGCTGCAATCCCTTTTCACAAGAAAAACTTTTAGAAACCTATTTTTAAACTAACTCGTGATAATTGTGTATTGGATGAAAAAACACTAAATTGCATTTATAATGAATTGACCATTACGCCAATTGGAAGGTAACAAGATGTCATGACCCAGATTTATATAGAAATAGGACAAGATAATGTACATATATTATCGAAATGGTCGTTTTTCAAACAGAAACATGTTTTAAACATCACGCATGGTAGTTTTTTCTCTAAACATTAACTCAGTTTATATCTATGAAATACGCTATTATATTTATCTCTTGTGGATGCTAATTAACAATACGTAAACGTAAGGTACAGTTGTGGGATCACACAACTTTACACGATGTGCGGTGTGCGCACGATGTGTGCACGGTGTTTGAACGGTGTGTGGCCGATGGGCGAACGATAAAAAGCTGGGTGAAAATGCAGGTGAAGGGGACCTATAGGCAAACGAATGCAAATAGCAAATACTATTCATTACGATCAAACGGTATCGCATATCAGCTCTGTGTGTCAGGCACTGGTCAATTAAAATTCCGGACACTCATAAAATTTACCTATTCTGTTACCTTGGAGCCAAACCCATTCTTGACAGCCTAACGGTCGCTGTAATATTGTGTAACACGCATTGGGAAATTGTATAATCTTGATTAATGTGATGAGAAATTACAGATATATACAGTGTACATTATCGCATACAAGCCGTCCGTATTTTTGTCATTCCGTAATTTTGATCTACAAAGATACCAAATCGCACAGTTGTGCGGAGAGAAGCGCCCAACGGGGCGAGCGATTGCTGAATCGCACAGTTGTGCGCACCATGTGTGGACGATGTGCGGACGGTGTGTGAACGATGTATGCACGGTGTGCGCACGCTATTTGTGGTGCGTTGGGCGGTCCCACAACTGTAATATTAACAGCCTACTTTTCTGTAGTGTATAAGTTATAATTGAATGAGTTATAGACTTACAACTACCGCCTTAAAATATACCCTTGCTTTCTTCTTTCTTTGCATTTGAAAACATAAATACTATCGATGACCTCTGACAGCCGACCTTGATGCGTGCGTAGCTCTAAATACTGCATGTGGATCAACAACACAGACAGGACAATGCAATGCTGCGTGTGTATCGACCACTGGTGAGAAATCATTTTGTATTCTGAATTTGTTGAGTTCTGATATTTCATTCACATATTTAATAGTTCACAACAAGTGATGTTTTAAATCTCATCTTTCGATCTGCTTTATCAGATTTAAAATACTGGCAAAACATTTTTTATATTTCATGAAACCTATCATTACCAGTTAATGGAACGTTCTTGTAACGTTCATATTATAATTTAATGTGCGTATATCAGGAAAGTCATATATGTCATATATGCAAAACTATAAGCATTATAATCATTGCATTGAGAAAATGAATCTTTTATATGCTATTACCCTTGAATATGTCCATGTGGATCAATATTAGGATATTTGCAATGATCATATGAGAACTTTTACTTACGAATATATCTTTGATTGCTTGTTATGCTGACATCTAGGGGCATCAGTTGCGTTTTATAAAAAAAGCATATTGCACTTAACAAAACACAACTTTCACACAACACAAATAAAAGTAATTCTAATAATTACAAAAACACACACATCATACAGTTACTTTTCCGGCGCATCGCAAAAATGTGAAATTCAAGCACATTTCTCCACTTCACTATAAAGCGTCCCTCGTTTCTGATATTATCAGACAGAGGAATCATTTGTTAACATAAAAACCAAGAAAAACAAAACTTTATTTTTTATGTCCATTCATTTTACGCCATTTTCATGTATTCATAACAAATGCAGTGCACAAATGACATTGCTATGATTAAAATGCAAAAAAGACGTGTTTCAATTGGACTGTGAGCTAGACACCATTATGCGTTGCCAAAAGAATCTCCCGAAATACAATGTCATACATAAATAATAATATTGTAGAGAAGGATGATATTTGGGTTTTAATTTTGTACTAGATTCACGAAAGACGGCTTTAAGATAGTTTCTGGTAAGGTACGATTAAATATCTCGCATACAATAAAAAGAACATAGAAATCACAACACCAAGATTGACTTTCAGGCTAATTTAAAAAAAAGATCGAGTGTCGGGCAGGTAAAACATGTGTTCTGGGTTCGATCCCTAGTGATGACTTCTGCAAGCAATAATATATGTATATATATATTATGCATGGGTAAAAGAAGTAAATATCACCGGTAACTTCCCAAATAACACTGCGAACGTATGTTTGTTGGATACGAATTACTTACATTTGGTATCAGGGGCAAATAAGTGGATATATATCTACTTTGATAGATTGGGAAATAGACAAAGTCAGGGTACTGGACAGGGCAAGGCTGATTGAACATAAAAGCAGACTTCAAACACAGAGGGTACCTCGTGTAGTCATGTTCCGCCAAACCGTTCACTTTTATCTTTTTTTTAAACCTCTTGGCGCAATATTGAGTTCTCAGCTGAAGCTGTAACATATATTTTTTGGGAGTCCTATTACATGTACCATGCCTATCACAGGCCAAAAATCATCTTTCTCTGCTGCAACAAATGTTTTTTTTCTTCAAAACATACAACAATAATTGTGCAAAATCTGTCCCTACACTTTTAAATGTGAAAGGAATTCTAAAATAATCACCTATTGTAAACACTGAGATGCACACCAGTCAATGTAGTGTATTTTGTTTCCTGCAAAAGAATGCAATATGCAAAATCTAGGACAAAGCTCAAAATCAGAATCAACAACCACCGCTGCTCCATTAATGAAAACAAACCAGTTTTCCCTGTGGCAGGTACTTCAGTCTGCCAAGCAAAAGTTGTGTGTCATTTCGTCACTTTTTTGTATACCTTTTTTTCTTCCCACATTTAATTATAATAATATTTCTTTCGAAATAAACATAGTTGCTTTATGTTTATCTTTTTAAAAGATTGTTCAAGAGTTTCTGCTCCATATCCAGTTTATCATCTTTGGACAAATCGTCGTGTCATTTTTCAGCTTCAGCAACTTTCTTCATGCTTCAGTTTTCCCGGTATATCATAATCCCTTTGTCATTGGTCGGTCACACACAGTATCATTGGTCAACAATACGGTCAGTGCTAATTCTGCATTCGTCTAACGCTTGCCGAGAGTTTGTTTTCAAACATTAGTTATATCAGTTTTCTATTACTTTTATGCAATATAAGTGTTCCTTGTTTTTCTGTGTCTCGATATAGGAGGGATTTGCTCCGAAAATTTGACAACCTTATGTTGTAGACACTGTTGGAATTAGTTTCTACCCAAATATATATACAATCCGCCTGAAGAAGCCCTAGAAGGCAGAAAGGCCTAGCGGACGATCTGGAAAAAAAAATGATTTAATTCTATATATATATATACATAACTATTTCTTTTTTACGGTAAACGAAAGATGCCAATGATTGCAAACAGTAAAAAGAAAAATTGTGTATGTAATTAAAAATTCAGGAAATATCGTTCTGCATTTAAAATGGAAAATGCGATGCGTTTCTTATTGGAGAGTCTATGTATACAAATTTAGTAATATAATACATAATCACGGCGTTCTATTTTCAGTTTTTTACAAAAAATGTCGCTTCGTTAGAGGTCAGCTAATCTGAAATATCATAATATGTTGCTTTATGTCTTCATGATATCTAAGGCAATATAACGATCAAAATGAAGAGCAGCGAAAAACATGCAATTTTTGCGTTGGTTGTAAAGTTAATGGTCGAGAGACAACTGAATTCTTCTCCTAAAATGTCAGATATTTTCCCCTTTTTATTTTTAACGAGGTACCTTCAGTATACAAACAATGAATGGCGAGGAAAAACAAACAAAATAAATTTTGCAAATCAAAATGATAATCCATTTAAAAAACAACCTAATAATGTCCGCAGGTCCTTCATCCCATAGTGAACCAGTATTACCGAACAAAGGAATACATTGTAACAGGTAAAGTTTTTTTGGTATGAAATAACAGCAAGCGATCATTAACGTGAAACTTCCCCGTTTTTTTAGTTTAACGAGACATGACTTAGCGCATTTTCTTCAAGAAGAATCATGAGTTTGGAAATATGTAACATAAACATGTCAATGTATATGCAAACAATGTACGTATTAAACGTGTCGCAACGTTTCAAGGCTCACTGTTCCCTTTGTCAAGCTATTACCTGTACAACGATGTGTCGAAATTGTATATTTCATAAGTCACTCGACACTTGAAACATTATGACACATTTAATTCGTGAAAACTTTGACATCATTTCGATTCAAATTGTAGTTGATGTGTAAGGCAATGCATATTTTAAGTAAGTATGTCGCCATAAAAAATGGCGAGTTATCATAAGTAGTCTGATATTCCGAAAAAAGTATTTATCGTTTTAATGTTGTCTGATACATGCATACGAACAGAGAGTGATAAAAAATAGGGATCTGGTTTAATGTTTATGAGGAATGATTACTTCCTCTATCAAGTGGTTCAGCTTAACACATACCATATATAATGTACATCAACAGATACATAAACAATTACTGGAAACGAGCAAGTCACACATTGCTTTCATTTTGGTAATCAAAATCAAAACTCATCCAATTGGAAAATTATGTCCACAGGTTCTACGACGGTAACAACAACAACTATAGGAAAAACAGGTAAAACTGGCATTTTTGTTCCGAAAAAAGTCTTGATCCACATAACTTGTTCGCCCATCACTGGGATAAAAAGACACATAACTTGTTCGCCCATCACTGGGATAAAAGGACATTTATATACAAAGTACTTACACACATTCTGATAATACATTATTCTGTCATCAGGCAAAAATGGATCCATTAGGCACGGATTATCTCCCCTGATGCTGATTTGCGGATTCATCACCAAGTTGATTCTGCGTCCATAATGGGAGCCATGTCCAAACAAGTTTGCCATCCTGAAAACTGCATTGCACGTTGAGCACAATGACGGATGACACCTTATCCATTTTAAGACTTTAAGATGTGTTAAAAAAGACATTCTCAATTTGAATTATTTCACGATCAAGTTCTGTTGAATGTATCTGCTGATAAGTTATGATGATTGAAATAAATAGATACTAATTTAAATTATCATAAACTCGTACTCAAAGTATCGCATGTATTGAAACACATCCTATAAGCCAGCAATGTGTTGAGCTGCGATTTTATATGTGATATCTGTTCTTTATAATCGATTTTTTCATTATACAATTTAAACCTCCTGTATTACTGTGATTGACGACTACATTTTATATTGAACATAAAACAATAAAACGTCCTACAAAACTGTTTTATTGCTTATCATTGTTACTATTTAAGGGATTATGTCTCATTATATAACACCAAAGTTTGGTGATTTGGGCATATTATTTTGTATTTGTAATCCAAGAAACGAATATACCAGATATACATATTTTTTGTTTTAATTTTAAACCACAGTACTCAAATAATTCAGCATTTGTCACAGAATAATGCCCCTTGCTTCTCCTCGGATACGTTCACAGTGATAAAAGCGGTAAAATATCGCAAGGATCCTATCTACTGATTTGTTACTGTGTTAAGCTACACTTCACTAACATTGCAGTTCCGTATTATAAATCGTATAAACATATGCATATAATACCAGTGATTTACTTATTTAAGATCATGTTATGAACGCGCAGCAATCAAATAATTGACAATAGATTTACATAAAATTCTTATATTTATATATACATATTATATTGGATACTGCACAATCGTTTAGTAAATATCAACTTTCTTATCTTACAACAATTATGAAGCAAGTTTTACAACCTATCTGTATTACTCTTGTTGGCGCACTGTGGGTCTTAATGAGGGAGGAAATCGAAGTACCCGGAGAAAACGCACTTGGTCGGGCAGGTGACCTCTTACCTCTTCACGTCAAAAAATGTACATATTGTACATGGACAAATTTAGCCTCTTCTTTTTTAATGTGTCACTATGTTTACAACATAAATTGATTTTTGTAAACAGTTAATTCGAAAGCTTTATAATGCAGTATATGTGTGTGCTTATAAGTCCATTATTTAATTTCTCCTAATTTTGAAACATTTATTTATATTTGATTGCTTTCAAACTTTTTATCCATACAGTGCAGTAAGAAAGACAGTTTTGCTTGGACCATTATGAGCTTATGATATATTGCAAGTACATATATCTTAGACAATCAACGAAGTTTTGAATTAGAAGCAGTGCCAAAACTCGGTCTTGTTTCACACGTTTCAAGTTCGATCAAAAACATCGGACTTGTCTTAACAATATTTCACACTTTCACTTTATAACTTTAAACCCTTTTAACTGGTCATATAATCATTTAAATACAAAGAGATCGTTTTAGGGCATTCATTGACATGCAGGCTTAACTTGCACATTTACACAGCCTATCAGCGTCCGTTGTAATCACAAGGGGTCAGACTTTGGACTATGTTTCAATACATTGTGATGTTTGTGATTTTGCAGGGTTTCATGAGTGGTCATTTAAAAAATCTGAGGTTAAATTGACCCCGATGGGGGAGGTGAACCAAATCAGGGTTTTGGCTTATGTTTGCGGATTTTCTGTCACTTCCCCACACAATCCGGGGTGATGACCCTTGTAATGTAAGTGAACATTGAAACAACATGGCTTTAATAGCAGAGAATAAGTCGAAAGGGCAGGTAGATGTATAACTTCATCTTAATATTGCTATCAACAAATTGACAAAAGAAAAAAAATTGCGTGCAAATATTTCCTTAACTTTACTTAATCAGTTGATTTCTTTTCTCACAGTGCGTGTTGTATAGTTTAGACGAAGTTATATTCAGTAATACAATAAGTGCCTTAAAACATATTCATTCAGAGGGTGCACTTTGCACAATTGATATCGATGTAATGTTGCAATGTTCTATCGGTCATATGACATAACTAAGTGTGTACATATCCCAAGAGGGTCATTATAATGCCTTTGACCATGTGTATCGACTAGATAATAGTTTGTGTACAATACTTATATATGTACCAGGTAAAATTTATGAAACGAAACGGTTTATTAATTAAATAAAACATTATCATGCATGTGGCTGCGAGTTACGATCAACATCGAGACACTTTTTTTATAAGATTTAATATTCACAAGAGTTGTTGCAAATATTTGTGAAACAACAGTTTCGTGCTGAAAGAAAACACATTAAAATACAATGTAGCAACATTTTGGTGCAAAGCCTTTCTTTTGTGTGATGTCACAATACAGTTTCAATGTTGTGATACCATGAAGTTGTGAGGTCGTAGCTAACCTTTTCACTAGATTATTAGACGTTTGGTTACAACACATTTTATGTAGCTAGTGTTACGAAACTGATAACAGAGTAATAACATGTTACAATATTGCAATAATAGCAACGCTTGTTGATAATTGGTATCCTAGTTATTACGAAATTAAGTTATTTAGATGAGGTTTTTCGTTGGATAGTTCTTGGAGATTGAGGCTGCGTGTTATATAATGTATTAGTTATTTAGATGAGGTTTTAGTTGGATAGTTCTTGGAGATTGAGGCTGCTTTTAACTTCTTATCTTTATTGATTGATTGCATAGGAATTAACGTCCTATGAACAGCAAGTATATTTAATGACACGATTCCATGTTTGTTATGTTTGCGTCCATGTGTGTATGTGTGCCGGAGGCAGGGTTTGTTGGTATAATTGCCTCTAAACACGTATGTTGCTAAGGTGCACATGTCGCTTTGCATACGTGTGTGTATGTGTCCCTTTTCTCAATAAGGTAAAATAACGTGCTTTCAGATCCTAGTTTTTGAAAGATATCTTATTTAAATAAAAGATTAAATGATAGCAGAGTATGGTTAAACCTGTTAGCCTGAACCTGGTAGTCTAAAAAGACTAAAATATGATTGCTTCAGAAAGCTTACGAAAATTTGAAGAAACACGTCATAAAAAACACTGACAGCACCATAACGACGTTATATCAAATTAAACATAATGACGTCAACTGCAACATCCTAGATTCCTATGGTTTCTTTTGGTTTCTGGTCAACAGGACTCATTTCATCGAGTTAAAATCTATATAAATCCCTTTTTAAGCGTTACCTCTCTATGCGCATATGGAAAGCCCAGTGTTTGTATGTTGCGATGGAGTACTGCATAATCGTATCGAATCCAGACTATATCCATCCCGGTAAACAAGAGTAATTACAACAAGTTGAAATGATTTGTTTCACAACAGTTGTAAAATAACTTTTATAAATTGATATTTAAATCATTAAAACTCACATATGATTATATCATTATTGATCAAATACATGCTTGGCAAATCAGTCTCTATGATAGTTGCACATTTCATCATAAAATATTTGTTTCATTATTGATGTAATATTAACTAGTAACCTTACAGTGTCGTAATTTAAACATAAAGGAGTTTCAACATCTATCGCACAGTAGTCTGCTTCAGAAGACGTACTCTAGGCCAGCTGTTACTTGTATTCATGTACCTCTAAGATGAAACATACTCATTCTTGACATGTGTATTTCAAGAGAATATTTTCTTTCATGCCGTCCGCGGCGTGCTTAACTACATAATGAGATATGTTAAATAGGCATATCTAGAACCATTTCCTGTCATATTACTCCTGTACTCGAATCATGCAGATACCTGCAGATTATGAAGTGGTTGTATATCATGCGTTCACAATAACAGTAATGAGTGTTTTGATGGGGGTTGCAGAATGAGTTTGGCTCCTGCGGTGTCTATTAAGATGAAAGCACTTACGAAAACTCCCGAACCCAGAGGGGTTCCTAGTTAGTCACCTCTTACAATATGCTGTAGGATACTGCAAGCCTATGCTGTCCCTTACATCTGTATAGCGACGTTCGGATATAAAATCCTTTGGACATGTCATAACGTGGAACTTTCCTTTGCTAAGTTGTTCTAATACATCGCCTATGACAGGATACAGCATTTGAGCCGACAGACTTGTTTGTGGCTAAATCAAAACATTCAACAACAACTATAACGTTAATGCAGGGAAATTCGCCATGCACCCAAATTCGCCATCCTGTGACGAAAATGCCATATGACGTCGTCATTAATAAGATGTGACGTAAATAACGTCATCATAGTCTTCAACACAGTTAAAGCCTTCAAATATTTGACAAGAAGAGGTATAAGAAAGGAAAAGTTATACCTTTAATCAAAACAGTTATGAAATATCTTGTAACACAACGAATCTTACATATTTGGTCTGTGCGACAGACATCTCGTCAACTAAACTCATTTATCTGAGGCCAGTTGGTTGTTATTTAGTGTAAATTTATTACATAACAATAAATAATATCCATATCTTAACGCTAATTGCAGTAAATGCAAGTAAATTGTTTTTCTACAATTGTACTTTGGTACATGTACAATGTACTGACGATCCAATGCATTTCAATGTTAATCTTTGTTACACACACACATTTTGAGATGTTCGTATCAGTACGACTTGTATAACATAAACATACAACACTTTACATTTAAACACTTATATTACTTGTTAATGAGTTAAATGTTTGAAGGCGGCGAAACTTCCTGCACCTTTGAGCAAAACCACGGAAGGCCTGAGGACGTCACAAATGTTGCTGCGTGACGTTTTTAAGGCGTGTTTACAACAATGTGTATTTATAGGCATTTCAGTCAAATCCTCTTCTGTATTGGTGCTCGTCTGCATTTTGATACATGCGTTTTTGGACGAATAATTAACCGAAACCATCATTAATGTGACGAATTTGCCTGCACTAACGTTAAACACGTTGGAACCAAATAATATAATCTGCTCATTATATAAAAATGCTTCCGAATGGTTTATGTTATAGATATATGTATTTATAAACATCAGTAAAGATAAGAATTTTCACAAGTTTTGAATACCAAGCTTAACATTGTTATACCGCCTAGGTTTAAACTGATATAACATATATCTCTCAAACAGATGATGCAAACGCCAAGATTGCTGGTGGTAAGTATATTTAAGAGTATACTATCAGTATGGTTATATGGGTAGTATATGCTTACCTACTTCCATGTTTTGATTCACCGATATTTCATCAATGGGATTAAAAAAAGGTGTAAATCTTAAAACGCGTCTTCTCCTTAAAATGATGATGTTGATATTACTGCAAAATATTAAAACCATTGTGACAGCAAATTGAACTTATTCAGGTATGAGTATTTTACAAATCATATCTCATGTCATTTAATACTTGTACAAAAATATATATGTTGATACAGTGTGTAT